CCAAGAACACATTCCGGTAACAGGACTTGGCAATGGGACACAGTAACGGAACAGAATAATGCAACTCCAAAGAGGAAACAGTAACACTGTAACATAGTAACACAACACAGTAATGGACAGAGTAACATAGTAATGCAACTAATAACAGGACACAGTAACATGATTCAGTAATGGGACACAGTGATGTGACTCAGTAATGGGATGTAGGACAACATAACAGGACACAGAGCGATTTGGTGGGATGTAGGGGGACACAGCAGGACATAGTGGGACATAGTAGGACACAGGGAGGCATGGTGACATGCGGCGGGAAGTGGCAGAACACAGAGCAAGATACTGCAGAATGAGGTGGAACACAGGGGGATGTGGCAGGACATAAGGGGATGTGGCAGGACACTACAGGATGTGGCAGGACACAAGGAATACAGCAGGACATGGCGGGAAACAATACAATGGGCAAGACATGGCAGGACACAGCAGGATGTGGAAGGACACAGGGGAATGGGCAGGACACTGCGGGATGTGGTGGGACACAGCAGGATGTGGAATGAGACAGGGGGATGGGCAGGACACTGCGGGATGTGGTGGGACACAGCAGGATGTGGAATGAGACAGGGGAATGGGCAGGACACTGCGGGATGTGGTGGGACACTGCAAGATGTGGTGGGACACAGGGGACACAGCGGGATGCAGCATGATGTGTCTGAATGTGGCAGAATACAGGACAATGGGCAGGACATATGGGTACATAGTGGGGTGTAACAGGACGTGGGGCCCACAGCCCTGTCTGCTCCTGTTATTCCTGGATGGACGTCAGCCCTCCCCCAAACAAAAGGCCTATTTAGGGCAGACCTTCTCCACACTGCCTGGTTTCACTGGTAAATGGGGTGTGTAACAGTGGCCAGTCTGGGTGGGAGCTGGACATGTGGGCAGCAGACCAGGATCGGGGGGTTGGGGGTGACACAGGAGCCTGGACACCCACTGGAGCAGACTAGACACAGATTGGACAGAACACACATATACAGATATACACACATACGGAGAGAATATACATTAATGACAAAGATTACAATACAGCAAATAAATGTGTAAAATACATGTTTATTATTGTATTATGAGTTATTGGTGCTATAAAAGTACGTACTGTACCATTATACGGCAGGCCAGTCACTTTTTAAACTGGCTACATGCAATTTACTGTGTTCGCTTATGTCTGCTGTGTCCCACTCCCACCAGAATCTTTAAACTCTGTTTTAACCTTATGGGACCTTGGACTTTGGGCGTATATATGCTTGAATGTTGTGTTGAAAGTCGTTAAGCGATGTGTAACTGTATATAGTTATTAATACTATTATACGCTGAAAGATACAGCCCTGTTATTAGTGTTACATTATGTAATGTACAAACTGCCAAAATACAACCAAAATGATAAAAGTTTCCCCTGCCTATACTTTGGTCAGACTCGTTTTCAGTCTGCGCTCTCTCTCCTCCACTCTGCTACTGTCTTCCTGTCACATCAGCAACCTGCAGTTTATACATTATGTAATGTATAAACTGCCAAAATACAACCAAAACGATAAAAGTTTCCCCTGCCTATACTTTGGTCAGACTCGTTTTCAGTCTGCGCTCTCTCTCCTCCACTCTGCTATTGTCTTCCTGTCACATCAGCACAAGCAGGCGGAGCAGAAATACCCACCCAGCTCAGAGTTATGAGGAAGACCAGCTATTCGCTATTTGGTGCCAGCAGTGCAAAGCTTTGGCTGTGGAAAATGTGAAACATGTATTGTTCTCTGATCAGTCCACTTTCACAGTCTTTCCCACATCCGGGGGGGGTTACGGTGTGCAGAAGCCCCAAAGAGGCTCACCACCCGCACCACTACATACACAGAGTGCAGCGCGCGGGGGGATCAGTGATGGTTTTGGGCTACAATATCATGGCATTCCCTAGGCCCACTACTCATCCTAGATGGGCACTTCACTGCCATGGACGACCGAACCATTCCGGAGGACCATGTTCATGCAGTGGTTCGAACATTGTACCCTGAAGGTGGTGCCGTGCATTAGGGTGATAATGCACCAATACACACCATGCAGGACTGGTGACCGAGTGGTTTGATGAACATGAAGCTGAAGATCTCCCATGACCGGCACAGTCAGCAGACCTGAATACTACTGAGCCATTTTGGGGAGTTTTAGAGGAGGGAGTCAGGACACGATTTCCTCCGCCAGCAACGCATAGTAACCGGACTAATGTTCTGCAAGAGAAATGACTCATAATCCTTCTAGCCACCATGGAGGATTAGTATCTGTTGTTCCCAAGATGAATTGATTCTGTAATGGCTGCAAAAGGAGCCTTGGGGCACTAATGAATCGAATTTGAACCAGAAAAGTATCTTTCAAAGTTTCCCTTGGCTAAAGATGATTGCTTTCATTAATACATTTATTTTCCATAAAGGATGCTTTAAAATCCTCTGAAATTCCCAACTGAAAACCATCAGAATATGAGTCACAAAGGCAGAATCAATTAGGCAGAATCTTACTGAGCATATTTACACAAATAAAAAGACAAATTAAAACTCCATGTTAGCGGACTGCTCACATGCTTCACATTTAATTCATGCGACAGCCTTACAAACCTCAGGAATTTCAGCTGTGGTGGAATGTAGCCTAGAGTCACCCGCAGGGTCTAAATTCAGAGGTTAAAGGTCAACGTGGCCCGCCCTCTGGGCTGCCCTGGCGTCTGCCAGCACAGAAATCAATTTGTCAAAAGCAAACACTGAGATCCAGCAGCTTCCTTCATGATGGGCAGCTGAAGGTCCAGCAGCAGCCCTGTGGCTGAGGGGAGGGGCCTTCCGAGCTTGGGGTGAGGGTCACGGTTAGAGTTAGGGTCAGCGTTAGGGTCAACGTTAGGGTTACCATGGGTCTGTGTAATGTGCTTCAGTTTGTTACCCAAACTGGAAATTAATATGCTGTAAATTATTCTTTCCAACAAAAAACATTGATCTTGGTAATTGTTACTGTCCATGACCGTACCATTTCACACTAAGGACTGACAGAGTGCAGATATTCTGGGTCATTATGTAGCTCAGCAGGTTGTGGGATCTGTGGCCATATCCAGAATGTTGTGGGTTCATTGCTGGCAGACAGTAATCATATCTCCATCAGGCCTTTGAGAAAGACCCTTAACCCCATCTGCTGCAGTGGCGCCGGCTGACCTTGCTCCCGGATCCTCACTGTACGTCACTTTGGACAAAAGCATAAAATGATGAAAATGAATGTAAATGGCAGCATGAACACAGCAGCTGGACCACACACGCGGTCCCGGACGGACCACACAGGGATGGGGCCCCGGGGCCCTCGCATGAAAGCACGCCCACCCCGGGCTCCTGTCTCCTGGGGCCCCACGGCCCTGCGGACGGCGCCTCGCTGAGTGAAGAGCACAGGGGCTCCGCCGCAATGTTTACAAGCAGAGTCAGCTCTAATCTTACACTGTGATGTAAAGGCATAATTCTCCTGAAGGGGTTTCCCACGGGTCATATGTGACTGTAACAGTGACAGGGCCAATTGGGGGGGAGGGGGGGGGCATTTTAATAACATATTCAGATAAACAGTAGGACCATGTCCAGGACTACAACCCTGCAGAACCAGAAACATTTCAAAAGAGGGTTTATGATCTGCAAAATCCCAGAAGCAGAGCTACTGAGAAATACCTGGGACTAAGTGTGTTTGTGTGTGTGTGTGTGTGTGTGTGTGTGTGTGTGGGGGGGGGGGGGGGGGGGGGGGGGGGGGGGTTGTGGTTAGGCTTTGAAATAAGATCACTACAGAGTCACCTTCACTCTCCAAAGGTCTAACATCATGACCCACAGAAGACAGTCCTCTCATCTTGTCTGTTAATCTTCCCAGGAATAAATGACTGTATTTACAATCTGCTAAAGAAGAAAAGTGATGCCCCAGATTATCGGGTCAAGATGTCAAAAGTCGGGACGGATCTGAGTGTCAGTTACATGGGAAGATGTACACAGACAGCCCAGAAAGGGCTTCTAAAGTCTGCTTTTGACATCTCATTTATAAACATTAGAGGGCCAGAGACCCCAGGCACAGATGCACTGTGGCTGTCGCTCACCCTCTGCTCCTGGCTCTACATCCTTCACCACCAGCCCAATCCTACAGGACTGCCCTAAATATGTCACAAAGCTTCGTGAAAACGAGATTTACCCCTGAATTACAGATTCCAGAAACACTGGCTTCCCAGAAAAATAGCATTGTAAAGAAAATATGCTTAATTTGCATAAAAATATACTTTGTTTACATTAGCTTCACAGCACAAACATGAACTCTGAATTTCAGTCAGGAATGATCATTCAATTGTATAATTTGAAATGCATTTTGTATACAGTGATAAGTGTTTTTCTTTAATAAAAATTTGATCACAAAAAGGATGCATTTTGTAATGAATGCAATTTATTTTAACATTTGATCAAAGCACAATGATATGCATTTATCTTAAGACAATACATGGTTATTTTGTCTTAAAGAATGCTTGGTTATTCAACCATAAATGCATGACAAACTACTTATATTTTTCTGCCAGGATGAAACAAAGTCTATAATATCTACACATTTCAATTTTGTTTTTGCAACTTGGAAAAAACAGTGGATCTTTTCCAGTACTGAGATTTTAAAAATGATCACTGCAGCTTCTCACAGGGAGGAGAACATCTCCTGATGATCAGGGACCTAATCATGAAAGTATGTCTGTTTGGCTTAACTGCCAGTTTGAAAGGAAGAGACGCTCATCCTGTGACAAGCCTCGCCTGCAACAATCCAGCCAGACGAGCCTGGTCAGAGACGGAAAGCCCAGTTAGCAATAAATCCGGTCAGTGACAAGCCCAGCCAGTGACGACAAGCCCAGTTAGCAACGAGCCCAGCCAGTGACAAGCCCAGTCAGCAAGGATACCGTCCTGCAGTGAGACCGTCCTGCAGTGAGCCCTGCTGTAATTTCCCATTGTGACTTTACCTACAACCTGTATGCCACACCGTGGTTCTGGGGGAGTCTTATTACGTGCCAATATGTGCAGTGAAGCCCAGTTGAGTAGATGTGATCAGAGCTAAAACTCAGTGTCCCATTCCCCGATGCTAATACCAGTCTCAGAGTCACAGGGACACAGAGTCGGTCCCAGAGAAAGCAGACACACTGCCTTCTTCACCCCCGAGCTCTCTGTGTCCTTTTCCCCGTCCGTACCCCTTTGATGACACAGCGAGAGGCGTCACTTGGAGTCTCCCAAACGTGGGAAGCGGCATCGAGCCGCAGAAAGACGCTTTTAAGTCCTTCTGCGTGATCGTCGTGCACATCTCCCCGGTGGCCTGCCTACGTAAGGACTGCATGCCATTCGTCTGAGTCAGCAGGCAAACAAAACAGAGCCTTTTTTCCATTGCAGGATTTCGGTAAGACACCCACAGAAGGCTCCACCGACCGGAGCCATTCTCATGCAGAGCTTACCTCCAGGGAGCGAGCAACATGGAGAGCAGACGCGGGGTTTCCACTGGCGATAGACACGAAGCATGAGCCTCAAGATCCTCACTCGTGTGACCCCGGCCGCAGAAAAAGGTGGTCCATTTCCAACGAGTAAGGGCTTTCTTAAGCATCTTACTAAACAAAAAGGCCCCAGATTAAGGAAGCATTAATTATGTGATCATGGTAGTGGTGGGAAAATGTGGGTTTTGTAAACATTATTATGGTAGCAAACAAAGATCCTCTGAGGAAGATCAACTGTAAAAGTAGGGTTTCCAGAGGGAAAAAAGCAGAGACTTAAACTCTGACCTCTAATAGGTGATGAAACCCATCATGATGACTGGCTGCAGAGTGAATGGTCAGCACACTGCAACAGTCACACAGTGCCCTACACAGACAAAAGCACACTGAGACAGTCATGCAGTGCCCTACACAGACAAAAGCACACTGAGACAGTCATGCAGTGCCCTACACAGACAAAAGTACACTGAGACAGTCATGCAGTGCCCTACACAGAAAGAAAGCACACTGCCACAGTAATGCAGTACCGCTTGAATAAAGTACACCACAACAGTCACACAGTACTTCATGCAGAAAATACACTGCAATAATGACGCAGTACAGCATGCAGAGGAATGAACATGAATATTTTGAGTCCTAGTTTTTAAAAAATCATTTACCAGATACATTCTGTGACATGCCTAAAATTATTGTTTGAAACATCTTTAATGTGAATATATTTTCAATACATTCAAATAATATACAGTTTTGACGATATGTCAAGTGGTGCGATCATTTGTGTACAGCAAAAAAACCATTTAATTTGGTAAAGTAATTTAAATATTAAATTAATTAGACGTAATCCTATGGTTGAAACTGTCAAACTCCTAAAAAGTTAATGGATTTAGAACCATTAAGATAACAGAAAAGCCTTTTGTTAGGTGGGACAACTGGGGAAAATAGGGCTTTTATTTTGAAGTAATTTCAGAAAACAGTGGACAGGATGTTACATCATAAAAATACCCCGAGTTCAAGGTGCCATGGGAAGGTTAGTTCATCTCAAAATCTCAAATACTGACAAATAAAACTCCTCCATGTCATTGGTAAAACCCATGATAAAACTTTTTTTAAAATTGCATATATAAACTTGATATGAAGGACAAACATTTGTCTGGGTGTAGTAGATGCTTGTTTAATTTTAAATGAGTCGGAAAAGTCAGGCGGCACAGTTGCAATTTATATTACTACCAATCATAAATGCAAAAAAAAAAAAAAAAAAAAAACAAATAGAAATGAACAAGGTCTGATGCACTGTAGACACTAAAATTACCTATAAAGGTTTTAATTTGGGAAAAATTACATTTTTCAGGTGGTGAAAACCTGATTTGCCCTTCACCCACAAACTGCGTCTCGGTAATCCTGAACAAGTTAATGCACAAGCGGTAGCAGGTCAAACCTCATTAGATGCCTCTAATTAGTGGCGCCTGGGTGATTTTGCCTTCATTAACTCAACTGGCTGTTAACTTCCTCCATGTACTAAGAGGGGCTCCCAGGAAGACATTATCTTAAAGCACAGTTAACACAAAGTGCCCGTAATGTAAACGGTTTCATTGAGATTTTGCCTCGTGCTCAGTCCCGACAGGAAGGCCGCCGCTGGACCGTGACCCCCGACTCGAGCCTGCTTCAGCTCATCCGCATCAATGGGCGTCAAAAGCTGGACTCGCTGGTCTTCCTCACGTGAAGAAAGCTGCAAAGTTATGAGACCATGAATTCCACTGAAAGTTAATTGCCAGTATTTGTGGTCAAACATTTTGAGGAAGTATTTTAAGCAGAATTCACCCTTGTAATGTAAGCCACAATCACGTCAGCAAGAGCCTTTCAATCAGCAGATTTCATTGGCTGAGAGTTTTAATCGCTAAATTATAAATGTTCCCTGAGGAGACACAATAATAGAACATCTCCGCCCATCAGGCCTACGATCAGAAGAGCAGTCTGTCAGCCGTTGGAACATTCAAACCTTCCATATCTGTCGGAAACAGTGATCATTTTGCAATCCAGTCCTCCATATATTATTCCTAGATTCTGTCTGATCTGAAAACAACATGCAGGCTGTCCACCACTGACTGAATTTCTTAGGATGACTGTAAAATATAGAGTAGTTTCTGCTGCACTGCTCCATCACCTTCCACTGGCAAATAGCTAAATTATTAGCTTGACTGCTAAACAGGGGCAAGGCTGTTAGCGTGTCACTTTCATTCTATGCTATAGCGCTAGCTCACCTTTGGCTGGCAATTAACTGAGGTTTTAGCCTGGCCTCCAACCACTGATGGTTAGTTGAGCTAGTTGAGTGGTTTCCACGCCACAGTTACAGCACCTATGGCTGGCCAGACAGCTCCAGTAGGAAAGAAAGATGACAAACTGAATTGTTGGAAAAGGGGCTAAAAGGCACTGAACTCTTTCTACCACCAATTTGTATCCATGAAGATTGCAGGTACTTGTGCCCGACTTACACACCAGTTAGCCGTGGGTGTGGCTGAAACGGCAGAACCCACTAATCTGACTCACTGATTGGGCACCACATGGTTTTGTTGCTATTTTTTTAAACAATCATGCTCGACTAGTTGGCAGTTATGATAATCATTTTTGATTGCGGCACTCTCACGTTCACCTTACCCCCACCTCAAATTCTACTGAGAGCCCCACCCCCTTCTCTGTAAAAGTATCTCTAACTGTAAAAAGACCCCAGCTGTAAAGGAATCAAGCATCTAAAAATCTGCTCAGTTTTGCAGCAATAGCTGCCGAATGCTAATTTGCTTGAAAACACATGAACCAAGCTGAATGACAAGGATAAAAAAAGTGGTGGGTTTGGAACTTGTACTTATATAGTATTAGGATATTACTTGAGTGAACTGTGTGAGATTGAGGTGTTAAACAGCACAGTGTTTTAGTTAAAAGAACAAGGAAGCACAGTGTACAGTGTACAGTGTACAGTCCAGGGAAAGGTGTTATTAAACACAGACGTTATTTCATTTCCATGCTGCTTTCGATGGTGTGCGGATCCCCGGCATCATGTGCGTCGCACATGGCAAAGCCTCATTCCTGTAAATATTTATTCCTGGTGTAAAATCCTCTCCAACCCTGTCCAGAGGTTATTTCCCTTCGTTTTCAGATTTCAGATGCATGATACGCATCTCAGTGACACTCCAAACTCTGAGCTATATTTGGCGAGGGACGTCCAGAGAGCCGGCTGAGGGAAATTAAGCCGAAGAGCCGGCAGAGACCCTGACAAACGTGTTTGTCTGTCGCACACAGTGGCTCAGTGGGGGCTCTGCAGCCCCACACCTCTGCGGGTGGGGATCTGGATCCCAGCTCCCACAGCTCTGTATGTGTGTACAGCTCCTCCCTGTGTTTCCTTCAGGTACTCAGGTGGCTGCCTACAGTCCAAAGGCATGCAAGTAGGCTGACGTGGGCGTCTCTGATGTTCCCGTGGAATGTGAGTGACACATGATGGACTGACATCCCATCCAGGGTGTCCCCTTATTCTAACCATATAATCTCCCCACAACGTCAGAATAATGGGGCTTTATCCCATTGTGAGAACACTTTGATCATCACAATGTAATCTATACATGACTCTCTCTCTCTCACACACGCACACACACACACACACACACACACACACACACATACATATAAAATGTTATTTTAAGAAACTTGTCAGAACATAAAGGGCATGGTCAGACAGTCCCTTCAGGAGACCACAACCTTCATGCTGCCCATGCTGGAGACATATGGTCCTGGTCACATGCTTACTCCCACTATCCAATCAGCTCTCAGTTTTTAAAGCCACCATTTGCACTCAACCAAAGCTACATAACTTTGATACCAGATTCTGCATTTAATGTATCTGCCATCTTAAGATATCTTGGGAAAGGCAAATAAATATGGTTGAATCACACGTGTGAATCCCACTAGGGAACTTTGATCAGCCCAGTATTTCTAAACATGTCACAGCATCACAATTTAAGGTTCACTTCAGATCCGCTATGTGAAATTGACCATAACAAACCAACTATCAATTGCCTTTCTCCAGATGGATCTGGTCAGCAGCTATAAATGTCTTCCTATATGGAATTAAAGCCTATGGGAAAAAAAAAACTTCCCAGAACAGAGAGACTTTCCACGCAGAGTCACTCCCAAACGTGGAAAAAAGGTGGAAAGCAAACTTCACTCTCTTTTACTGCTGTATACTGTGCTGTGCTGTACTTCACTCTGCTTCCATTACAGCTGCCCGTCGACGCAGTCTGGCCAGCTTCCAGCGTGTGAGGATGACACGGGGGGGGGGGGGGGGGCAGGTGGGCTGCAGCTCAGCGCCCTTTAAAGGGAACATCAGGGAAGAAGCAAGCCTCGCGGATATAAACAAGTCGTGGGTGGCTGTAAAGCAGGGTCAGCGGAGGACTCAGAACCGGCCTCTGGGGCAGAAGCGTGTAGCTGAGCCGGGTCACAGCCAGACTCAGAACCGGCCTCTGAATGGAGCATGTAAAAAATAGGTGCCACTCTGACTGTGCAAAGGGCACAGACACAATCACACAGTGCAGAGTGTTCAGACAAGATCACAGGTCTTTGAGACTTGGGAGGAAACCTGCACAGCACAGTGAGAACATGCCATCAGAACACACAAGGCGGAAGCGGGATTCAAACCTAGAGCCTCGAGGTGAAAGACAACCCACTGTGCCACCCTAATAAAATACTAACTGAAATTCATTAAAAGCCAACTCTGAAGATAGTTAAAGCACGTTAAAGCTGAATTGGGTTAAAGCAAAATGTATAAAGTTACATATATCAGTTCAGCACATTTCGGGCACTTTGTGTGCTTTTCTGTAGTACTTCAGACAGCACTTCATCAACGTGTTTATGAAAAACAGAAAACAATACGGAAATGAAATGCCAAACAAACCAATTCCACAGGCATATTGGTGATAGGGGAGATTGCTGAAACTGCACATGTGCAGAAAGGCCCGACAGGGCGTCTCGATTGGTAGCTCAACTCGTCAGACCACTGGCGCTCTGGGTTCTGCAGGGTGACTGGCTCACAGTCACATGGGCGTTTCAGCAATCATAACAGATCCTACTGCACCTTTTCTCCGTTCATTTCATGTTAGGACCACAGGGCACATAGTTTTTCGAAATGTTACTTTAAAATGGCATTTACTTGTTAATTTACAAGTATAATTATTATCATTTGAACGAGTACAAAGAGAAAATCCCGTTTGATCCTCCCACTTGCTGAGATCTGGCCAGAGTGAGAATCAGAATCAGAGTGGCTGAAGGCAGTGACCGTGGCTCCGCAGGCCGTCCTCTGATGCCACACCAGTGGTCCTGCAGTTCATTGCAGCACCGTGTCACCTCCCTCAGATACACACACACCCCCAATCAGATACCTGAGTCCCCAGCAGAACCTCGGGGGATGACCAAAGAGCCTGAACACTTCACACGCATTGAAATCCTGTCCACTATGTGTTACCTGATAACAGCCCCCACGAGAGCTTCTCTCTGTCTACAAATGACACACATGCCACGGATAACTTCTTAATTACTTTTCAGTCATATTCAAAAGTGTAGAAGTACTGTATATACATTCATACATACATGGTATTCAGTAACACTAACCCAAAAAATGCCATGTAGTTCAGTTATGAATGAAGTATTAACAGAAATGCAAATATAACATATATACCACATATCTGTCACACACACACTGACACACATATTTTCATGTCTTTGTGGGGACCGTCCATTCATTTCTATGGGGAAAACGCTAATCCCAACTATGACAACCTTAACCCCTACCCCAAGACTTTTGGCATTTTTAGTTTTTTGATTGCAGTCACAGATTTTTATAAAATTGAATTCCCCCATGTGGTCCCTACAGCATCAAGATAACAGGTTTTTATGACATTGTGGGGACATTTGGTCCCCACAACGTAATATATACACCACACATGCACACTCACATACAGACACGCACGTGCACATACACACACACAAACACACACAGAGATACGCAAAGGAAAACAACAGGGCACAGGATGCAGCTTCAGCAGCCTCAGGAAATCAAAGACATGCTGCATGGTGATTAATAGAAAATAAATTCTGGACTAAAGATTTGACTGAAATGTCCAAAGGCATTACATCATTACATCATTACATCAGAGCAGAGGAAGCTCTTCTGCAGTCACAAACTGCCAAGCTCCTGAGCTCACGCGAGCCACCACATACTGGGCACGATCACCCAGACCGCCCCCTCCCCCCTAAGCAGACAGCCCACTCCCCACCTAAACCCACCACCGTGATGCTGAAGCCTCAGACATTTGTCTGCCACGTCGCAAGATCGGGGGGTGCTTTATGGGGGGTAGTTAAGACAATTCCAAGGACAGGGGCCCTAAAAATTCAGAACATAATTGGTTTGGTCTGGGGGCCCAATATGATATGTTTTCATGGGGCCCAAAATTTCTAGCAGCACCCTTGAAGAGGATACACTGTTAACCTCATGCAGTGTATGTCGTCAATGGATGGATGGATGGATAAAAAAAATACACAAAACACAGAACGGAAAAAACAACTTTACCATTTTTATATCACAACTGGGTGTACATTAATGCATCTAGATAAATTCACGAAGGATTAACAGCAATTCCTTATAGAGTAATGAAGCCATTAGTTCCTTACGCACCACGACCAGTGATT